CTATCAGTCACTGTGAGCTCGAAACGGTTAGCACCATTGCTTCGAGTGGTCGAAATTCACTTTTGTTTAATCAATTTCTTTGGTAATTGTGTTTGAAAAGTTAAATTTTAAGGAATTGTTTGTAAATAGGTATGCAACACATTGTACACGTCAGCATAAGAAATTGCTAATACTAGCTACGTAATGCTACTTTGCGCTGTGCTGACAGCACTTCTTTTATATATAATATTAATTAAACAAAAATTACTGGAGCAGTGTAAACTACAGCTGAATCCGCTTATAATGACATCTTAGGGAAATGACAAACTCGTCATACTAAGCGGGCATCATACAAAGCATAGTCTAAGAAAATAAACAACTTTCTATTTTGGTTAATTATTTAGTTTAATAGAGAGAAAAATTGCAAATTGTATATATTTATTAACAGAAAAAGAAAAAGAACGATGAAGTGTAATATCAATATACATAAGAAGGGTCAGAAAAATGAGCGAAAATGTTATTATTAATCACTATAGCAGGATATGATTTCTTGAGAATCAGTCATAATAAACAATATGTCATTTTAAACGGAGTCATTATATCCAAACTTTTCTTAATATGAAAACCAAACTTAAGCGGTTGGTCAATATAGGCGGAGTCATAATATACAATTGGCGTTTTATCTTAATTCGGCGAAAGGATATAATCGTAATGAATGGTTTTACTAACTTTTTAACCATACTTGGCAACTGGCAGTAACATGGTCGCAAATTGTCTCATTTTCATCAGCGCTTTGCAACCAGTACTGTATTTTAATCGCACTCAGGTACATTTTATATTGACAGGTTGAAAGTAACCGTTTCCAATATAAACGCAAATTAATTTTGTTACGTCGAAATTGACGCATTTAATTTTGTATTCTGCATTGAAATATCCGCAGAGCTTAACGCCTTTTTTTTTATTAATCGTTCATTTCACACGAATATATAGACATCCGATCCGATCTAATTTCGAGCTTTTATCTGCCATTGTAGGTATATTATAGTATATGTATCTGCACAATAGTGTGCTCTTTCTTTTGTTCTTCTATTCACGTCTTGTTTGCTCAGCGAACGACGTTAATTGAGAGATGGTACCTGAAGAAAGAATACAAGGGTGCCCATAGCGTCGTCGTCAATTCTTATCTTACTCCCGAATGCCAAATATTCAACTTTATAATAAAGCAAAATGTCCTTTTCGTAAATGTTTCTACAGCTGTCATAGATATTGTCTCTGGGTTATTTCGGAGTTAAAAAAAACAAACGAACGAACCTCTTGAACTTCGTACGATATTAATCCTTTCTTTACACGTTTGTAAAGTTGTGAATACTAAATAATCATTTGAAGTGAAAATTAGGCTTTCAAAATGAAAAATATATCTTTAAAAGTATTATGTGTGGTTGCGGTTGAAAGACATAAAACAATTATAATGTTGTATGTAGGTGTTAATGTTGTCTTTTTGGTGTTACAATTTATTTTAAGCAGTCATTTAAAATAGGATTATGCCTATAAGATAATTTGTCAACGGGTCTTAGGGTTATTTAAAGGGTGCGAAACCCTGAATATTAACATACTGTTTTTCAGTAGAACTTTTTCTTGTCCCACAATAATTTTTTGTAACTATGCTCTAAAAGTCTTTTAAAGTAGGATTATGCCTATGAGATAATTTATCAACGGGTCCTGGGGTTATTTAAAGGGTGCGAAACCTCTCAATATTAACATACCGTTTTTCAGTGGTGTACATATGTTTTAAATGTTAGTTCTCGTAGTTACTTAATATGTAAACTTTCCTTTGATGTTCGATAGAATTTTTATTCGTACAATTACCGAATGAAAGGCAATGAACGTGATTTTCAATTCAATAGTAAAAGCCCTTTTGCCTGTGAAAGGAATTTCAGACATTTCTGGAAATTGGTTCGAACTTGGACGTGGTTTCGATTCAGTCTAACTACTATTGAGACGTATCAATTGTTAAAATTTATATACTCGATGTATTTTTTGCTATAAATTTGGAAATTACTTTACTAGAAGCTGTTTTGCTAAATGGTTTTATATTCATGAAGTTCAAAATCATTAACCATTCATGTTTGCAACAGTGATACATATTTTTATTACGCCATCAAAGTTGGCATTGCAAAATTAACAGGCAAAAAAATAAAACATCGGATAATTAGTCGCAAATTATCCGTGAAATTCAAAGATAAGTCGTGACTTGGTAATTCCTACAGCCATTTCAAACTACCAGACAAAAATTGTAAAATCGGTCAGCAAAACCGTAGAGAGCGGGTTCATAATTAGTCGCTAATTAACTGCTGACGATGCAGACTACTAACCAAGGGGTTCGAACTTTTTTCAGAATAGCTTTATTTTTCGAGGTTGACGGCCTGGCAGCAGCTGTAATATCGAGTGAGATTACAGTAGGCATTCTAAATTGAGTTTGAAAATTTCTGGGAATATTTTTCAAATTAGCAGTGATAGCCGATGTAATATCAACATTCCAGGAATGAAAAAATATGGAAAATAATAATTCGTCTTGTGCATCGCGTGCTAATGAATGTTTAAATGGCCCAAAGCGAAAGAAGAAAAATTTCATAATTAAAGGTCAAAATTGATGACTGCGGTTTATGGTATTATTCAACACAAGCATGATATAAGGGGCTGTCGTGCCACTTTATGCACTTTTATTTGCATGCGATTTAAATATTTTCATTATGGCAAATAGTGTGTGGCCTGTTTTCAACGGCATGATTTATGTATGTATGTACAGGGTGGTTTCTCTATCTCTTTTTTTGAGACAAATTTAGTGGTATTTTGAAAAAAAATAGTAGAAAAAAATGCAACAACTTCTACGTTCTTCAGACAATTTTTTTGAATAGAACACAGTGGTGTCGGAAAAATTAAAAAAAAATCATCCCCTTTCGAGTGATGACAAACCTGTATTTTTTTAAATAGGAACCGTAGAGTATTAAGTATCCCCTGTACTTGAATAGCAAAGAATTAAAATTGTTTATGACACGAACATAAACATAAATAAAATAACATTATTAAAGACATGATAACTTTAGGGATAGATATATATATATAGGGACAAAAGACTAGTACGCTCAGATTTTTAGGTGATAGAGCAGTGTTAGCATCTAGCAAGGAGGAGTTAGAGATACTCTTAAATGGAATGGTATTGTATGAAAATGAATAAAAGTGAAACAAAAATATTGGTATGCAATAGAAGAAAATGTAGGGAGAGAGCGAATATAAAGATGGAATTAAAAGCTTGACGAAGTGGCTGATTTTTGGTATCTAGGACGTCAGTTAACTGAAGCAGTAGAGATATAAAACAGAGGATAGCGTGGGGTCGAGTCACCTTCAATAAAAATATGTCACTTGTATGCTCGCGAACAGTTAAGTTAAGAAACTAGAGCGCGGCATTGTATAGGTGCGAAACATGGACGGTGGGGCAGCGGTAAAGAAAAGTTAGAAGCGTTCGAAATGTGGTGTTATAGGCGGATGATGAGGATATCGTGGATAGAGAAGATTAGAAATGAAGAGGTATTAGAAAGAATTGGAGAACATATGACTCTATGAAAGTCAATAAGAAATAGGTGAAATAGATTAGTAGGACACCTTCTCAGGCATGAAGGTCTAGTCAGAGACATATTACAGGCAGAAACAGGAATTAAGGAGAGTACAGGTAGACCTACATTAGATTACTTACGCAAATAGTTAAGGATGTGGAAGCGAATATCGCTCGCATTTGTCTAATCTCTTGTGTTGATTTTACCGGCAATTTCGTCTGCATGAAATTATTGCTAATTGCTCAAACGGCTATAACCAATAAACAGTTAAAGAAAGTAGCCTTGAATGCCTCTCACCACTTTGTGATGCCTTTAAAGTCCCATCGAAATTTTTCATTTGTGTCTTAATAGGATACAAATAAACGTAAATTATTCAAATTCGATTTGCACTTTACCGATGGTTTTAACAATAGAAAACGATTTTTTCCTTGCTTGACACTTCACGTTCTAAATTTATTTGCAGTCGACGCGCTTCGCTGTTATTTTATCCTTTTTTTTTTGATAATCGATTCATTTTCTTTACGATTCAGTCGTTAGGTGGACGAACGAGTCGACAACAATTTACCTGATGCGAAAAATTTTCTTACTTTCCTCTTTAGCCGTTTTACAATCTTGTCGGTATTTGCCGTTGTTCTTTTTCACAGCCGACTTGAAGAGGGTAATTTTTATATGGCAGGCCATCTTTGCTCTCGAGCAATAAAATTTCCTTGCCGCTGACGCCGCCGGCCAAATAACCCTCGCTAATGCTATGAAAACCCCTTGTTTGTTTTAAACGAGAAATACCGTCAGTGTTTTGCCAGCCGTAACTCTTTTACGAGCGCTTGCCTTTTGAAATGCTTTTTAACAGAATTTTATTAACTAACACAAACTGGATGCGTAGAAAATAGTATACGTAAGAGATCGTCAAGGTCCATAGAAACATTATTTTGCTAAAACAACGGTCTGTTTGTCTATCTGCCTTCTAAATGAAACAAGGTATGTGATAGCATGCTTTTGTTTGAGTTTATAGGCAACGTCATTTCTAAAAAAGCCGAACGGAAACAAAGAGTTATGATTGATTCTGTGGTGTTTAAAGAAAATTTTTAGTCAATTTGTGGACTTGCTAAACTGAGCTTACGGCGCGGCATTAAGACAGGTACAAGGTACGAAAACCTTGATTCCCGAATCTTACTGGTACTTGTCCAGTTAAATGGTTCACATTTTGCCGCTTTAAATAAATGTGAGACACCCAGGAATATTTTATTCGCTACTTTTGATACATTTATAAATTACACGTATTTATTGACATTTTCGGTTATTCAAATATTGATTTTAACAATAGGTACATTTATCGTTTTGTGCCAATTATTATAAATATGCATGTATGTATTCTATATATATATATATATTTATGTACACGGTAATTCATGATAGAATGCACTTACATAAAAAGCATATTTTCCCCTTGTATTGTTCCATTTTATGAAACATTATCTCTTAATGCTACGGTATATAAGTAAACATGCACGGAAATAATAAATTATACATTATAATCAGTTAAGTTACATTAAGGAAGTATCACATTTTGTTTCTGTGTAAACTACGAAGATTTTATTAATAACACAGTATATTTATCCTTTTAGTTATCCGTTTCAGAAAATATTTGTATAATTCGGCGAAGTTGGATGATTTTGTGGATTGTGAATAGAGATTAATACTAGAGATACTTAACTAGTGTCGTTTACTTTTAAAAAGGTTTTTAATTGATTGTTATTGTATCGTAGCTACAGTAATGTCGAAAATATACTTGCTTGCTATAAGGTCATGCTGTATGGCAAATTTAGCAAGTATGTAGGTATCTATTTAATGTAAAAATCACCAGTGAAACCACTGTCTAAATTTATTGCGTCATCTGTGAGGTTTCCACGTTTGGTTTTTGTATTCGCACATGAGCACCTTCTTAAACGCTTGTCTGAACACTTTGTTGAAGATGGTATAAAAAATTGGATTTACCATTGAACTGGCGTATCCGAGCCACGTGACGAATTGAAACACCCAGTCGTCGATTCGTTCCTCGCAGTCCCGGCAGATGATCGGTAACAAATTAAGGACGAAGAATGGTGCCCACAGGATCACGAACGTGAAGAATACAACCCCGAGTACTTTCGTTGCCTTCTGTTCCAACCAGATGATCCTTCCGTGACGGGACGAATTCCTCGATATTAAACTGCTGTTGCGACTGTGGTGAGGTCTCACGACGCTTTTCCCGTAACTGTATCTTTGTGCTGAGAATGGGGAGGAATCGCTTTTGGATTTGACCGGCGATCCCTGGACGCTTTTGGACTCCATCAGGCGCAACGTGGCGGCCCTTCTTAGTAGCATTGGCGTCTGTTTTAATGAACTGGTCGTCGAAGTCCGTGCGCTTCCGAAACTGGAACCTCGCCTCCTCATCCGACTCGGTGACTCCCAAGTGACTATCATGCTTGTCGAGTTGCATTCCGACGAACTCTTATCTTTCCTCAGAAGAGATCTTTTCGGCGAATTATCGATGTCTATGCTAAGGGAATCTATCATGTGGTTCTTCTTGCCAATTTCAATTGTGTTACTCGGTACTATTTTGATTTCTGCCGGTTTCGGTGGTGTCGACCTGTTGGATTGTTTGTCGCCGAAATAAGGGCAGGTACAGGGCGGAGGTAGAAGTAGAGAATCAGTCGTAGATGTTTTATTAGAGTTTTCGGTTTGACTCGAATAAGTCGGGAGATAGCCGTGGAAGCTGCATGTACGACGGCGTTTTCTCGGGGAATTTTTGCCCTGGCTCTCGCCAGTGTGGAACGTTGAAGCTCGACGGCGTTTTTGTGGAGTTTCGCACCTTTCCGGTATTGTGAAGGAAGAACTGTTGGAACTGATGTACGTTAAGCTGGATTTATCTCTGAAAATACAAAAATTTATTTTCGCGCTTCGCTTACGTATGTAAGGCTTATTCTGGAAAGGTATGAGTGAATATATTGCAAACATTGTTCACAACAGAATCAAGGGTCACAATATTTCTATAAGCGAATAGGCTCGTTGCATAAAATCGAAAATTCCATCAGTTACGTATGCTCATCTCTTAAATGAGAAAAATTTTCCGTCACAGAAAGTTTTTACTGTATTTCACATCTATCCTAGTATCTGCTTACAATTTTTCCTAAAGACATGATATCAATCGGACAACTTCCACTACTTGATTATGAATAGCAAGTATTAACATTAAAAAAATTGGCAGTGGAACTGGATAGGAACGGAACGACTGTTTCTGTTTTTTTGTTCGGAGTTGTGTAATAAATCTACTTTCACTTAATGCCGTGAGTTGATTTTTTTTTGAGGGAGAATAAGAAATGGCACTGACGAAGGAAAGCCGGGAAATCGTGGTTTCGTTTACGGCATCTTTTTTGCCTACGTTACCGAGATCCATTTGTCACACGTGTTGACGGAGTCGTTCGCTCACGTTAATATTGGTCTCGGCTGTTGAGGAGACGGGTCATTAATTTTTTTTTGTTCGAACGCAAATTTACTATCTCGATTACGGTATATGCGAACGTACGTAACGTGTACATATATTTTGCCGAGGCACGATCCTGATTTTTCACATTTTCTTTTTTACATGCGTAATCAAATACGTACAGCTATAGTATTAGGAGACTAGCTGAGCCCCCTGTACAAATTTGGACGTATCGGCTAACCGGGTACTTGTCAACGGTGACATTAATCGCAATATTTGAACTTATGAACGATTGCATATATGTGTACGCAACCAGTTATACACACGAATGGAATCATTTAGACCCGCCAGTTTTTACTGTTTATATTGAATACGCAGAAGTTGCCGATTTTTAATTAAAGATTCTAATTAAATGGAACCATCTACTTATCCAGTTTCAGAATATGTTATTATGAGAGGTGATTTCAAACTAAACGTTTTCTTTGGCGTTTTAATTGGCTAATATCTTCTAAAATGTGTAATAAATTTGTATGAAACTTTTAGGGATATTTTCGTGAATATGCTTACATTTATTGGTAAAATAGGGGAATTGTCTTTTTAGTAATGACTTTCACCATTGCTTTCTGAATTAACAAGAGATGAGATACGATGTGGTTAAATGTTGTTTTTTTGAGGTTGTTAATTATTATAATAAATATAACATTGTAAGGGTAACAGCTATAATTAGTACATTAATTAATAAATAAAATTATTGAAACAAATCCGAAGTATTCGGCAAATATTCCAACTTTTCGAAAAATATATAATTACCTACTTGAAACGTCGAATTTTCTAGGAAAGTTATTTTAATAATAAATGCCTTGTTTTCAGTTATCGTTTTTTACTTTCGCTAAACAGCTAAAATTCCCCTGTAAGTTGCATATTTTACCGTTAATGACTACCGTGGCGTTGCCACGTAGTCCCAAAATCCCGTTTAATTAAATTCCTTTGTTCCCGTGTGAATGTAATATGTTTGGGTAACGTGATATACAGCATTTTTGCACAATAATGATCACATTTTTGGTCAAATCAAAACTAAATTAAGCGTTTCGGTTTTGCAATAATGGTACAATAGCTTACCTGGCTGTCAAGTTTGTCGAATTTTGATGCGTTTGATTTTGTGAGCTTTCCCTATTAGTTGTAGCCGCTTCTAAACCCCTCGATAGCTTCAGCATTTCGGCTCCGAATTGACCCAGGGCTGACATCGTGCATGGTGTCGGCTCGGTCTCTTGTATCCATAACTCGTGAGTGTCGATTGTCAATTCTGTGTCGGTCGATGTAGCCGAATGGGCATGCTGTGGAGTTCCTGATCTAGATCGTCTTGTATACAGAAATCTTCGCCACGTGCATTTCCTATCTAGAGCGTTAATTAATAACGATTGAATATAAAAGTTTTTGTGATGTTTAGGGTAGTTGGTGTATTTATATTAGATATTTTCTTCACTTAATTCCGTTTTATATCTCACTTATTTTTAGTACATTTCCCCTTTTCATTTGACTTTCAAATTGTGTCGAGAAGACGATTTATTCGAAAGCCATTGTTTTGCATTTAAATTAAGAACGATGGCGACGGCGTGTGTCTAACCACTAGGAATACCCTTGAAGGGACAGAGATTAGATGTGGGGACTTGTCTTTGCGTAACAGAAGCACTACAAAGACTGAAGGTGTTAAGTTTCTTTTTCTTCATTCATCGTAATGTAACTGTAGAGTATCTCGGAAAAATAGCACTAAATAGCGTTATTGATTTTCTTTTGAGTAACAAGATATTACCGAAAGAAGTAAAGGTTTTCATTAGAAATTTGCTTTGTTTGCATGGGCACGTGTACCAGGTGCGTGCTTGGGAAGACGAATCTACCCTAAGCACTCGAAAATTTCAGAAGATAAAACGATTTGTGAAAACAAGTAGCTGAATAAATAATATTTGAAGACAAAAATAATTTAGCGTAACAAATAATATAATTCGTCTGTTATTTGATCTTTTCGAGTTTTTGTAAATAAAGATATGACGATCTGACAAGTACTTAAAATAGACAAAATCGTACTTAAAGAATCTCGATTTATTCAAGATCTTCAAGATGTAACATTCTCCACGCTAGGTATTATACTAAATACACATGTAAAAAAAGTTTGTAACAGTTCAATTATGAGACAACATAATTAAGGAAATAATCGTAATATTTATTAGCTTGAAAATTTTGTTGTGGCTGGAGATTTTCCATATCAACAGATAAAACGAAAAATAGACAAATTTTTCGGGTTTGGGCCGTTGTCTGTAGAATTTGGGCAGTAGCGTATTGGAAATCTGGTTTAGAAGTTGGTAGCTGCTCGAAATGATTAAGGATGAAAAAGTGTATTATGCAAGGCGATGTAACGTTTGCCTGTTATAGACCGTTCAATGGTTTTTCTTTATGTTATTTAAAATTTTGTTTGATATGGTTAATGTTAATTAACAATGTCTAACCATCTACCTATATTAATTTTTTTCTTAAAGTTTCCTTTAGCATGAGAGATTTCCAAAAAATAATATAGGTACCTGCGGCAGTGAGTAGGTTTCATTGAAACAAGATTCGAATGTGTAGGTTTTTGACATCCCTGCTAGACAGGCGGGTATTGTTTGAAAGGTTTCACATGTCTGGGAGATAATTAAAGTTAATTAATAAATAGACGTTGTTATAGATAACTGACTTTTAATAGACGTCTGCGGTCTACTTTTGAGTTGGTGTCGCATTGAAAGTCCGCTTTAATCCGAGACATGCTGTAACTTTGCGAAGTTGCCTGTTAACAAGTAGTCGAGGGTTGACGGGAACGATAATTTGACCTGGTTTGTCACATTAGTAATCATACGTGGGCTCGCGCGCGTGTGGGTGTGTAAAGTTGTGAAATTGTCTGTGAAGCGTTTGTAACTGCGCGCATCTCGGATCTTCACGAATCAGCTGTCGTGCTTATAATTGCGAGCGGAATTTGCCCTTCGATTTCGGAAAAAATTGGATCAAGGTCGAACTTGTCGAACGCCGTCGACTACAAGAAGAGCGTTTCGTGTTTGAGGAGCTCAAAAATTGCGGACTCATCGAGAGGAGGAAGTGCGCGTACAAAAGCCAGATTGTTGCAGACTATATATATGTAGAGTACGTGAAAGCACCCTTTTCCTTTTTGTTGTGACGATACGATGTGATGCTAATTTAGTGAGAAATTTCCAAAAGGATTTCTTTTGTTGACCAGATAATCGAAGGTGAATGGAAATTGTCAAGGTATCTGATACCTTTGTGGAACTTTATATTTACTTTCTGCTGAATGATTCTAAGCGTCGATTGAGTAAGAGTCAGCTATTTATACGCATTTGGTGCAGCAGGAATTCCCATAGTCTAAATCATGGCTTTGCGAACTAAGACATGCAGGACGTTTAAAAAATGTGCAGAAGTTCAAGGGGAATCCCATCAGGATTATTTTTTGCTGTCCATGATGTACGTAGTGACGAGTGCAAGTGATGGTTTTTTGGTACCTGTTTTTATTAGTGAAGATTTCGTTTTAAGCGATTATGAAAAGCTTTTTTTACTCTAATTCGACTTTATTACAAGCAGTAAGACTTACCCAAAGGTGGCCCGCCTAGCCATCCACTTGACCACCCTCCTCCCGTTACATTCTGCTTCTGTTCTGCCAAAAGTCGTACTGTGAGGGTGTACGTTGTAAGCATCACTAGGAGAGGCACGTAGAAGGATATTATAGATCCGATGAATTTGAAGAGAGGATCGGGAATCTTACAGGATCCGTCGACCACAAGGGAATCTTGATCCTGAATGAATGTACATAAAAGCACAGTATTAATATCAACGTGTGATTTTAATTTCAATGAATATGTATACACATTATGTCTGATCAGTAGGTACTCCGAAGAAATTAAGGGAGAAGAGGGTATATGAAAAGAGCACAGGCTACTACTAATGATCGTCACATGAGCAATTGACTTGTCTGTGTACCAGCTGTTGCGAAGGTCACGAGTACGTACGAGTGTTTCGTCATACGACGCTTGCAATAACGAAGGGCGGTTGCCAAACTAGCAACTGGGGTACTTTTTGTGCTAATTTTTTACACCCCCTACGTTGTGGCGGTATCACGAGATGCACTATACACGGCCTCCAGATGTTATAATTTAAATATTATGAGTGTCTCAAAACATATCTTAATTTTAAGTAGGTAGTTTCTTACATAGCTGTTATAATAACTTTAGAACTTGGTGTCGTAAAGGAAAAATTGTGTACCTATGCACTAACTTTATTTAATGATTGCTGTCCAAAGGCAGATACGAAAGATAGATGGACATTGGTTTGTTGGGAAAATGAAATTCCCTTGATGGAAGTGCTCACTGCAGCTGATATTATTTTAACTGAATCTCTTTCTCCTTTCACTCCCAGGGAGATGTAAGTATTTCGGTATCTCGGTTAGTTCTTGCTGTCTGTGTACGTACAAGTGCAGCATGGACTGCAAGACAAATTGAGTTTCGCGTCTATTTGTGTCAAAGCGTTTTGCCCGCAAAAATGGCAGATTCGATTACGTTCGTCGAAAGAACTTGCCGATACTGCGAAACTGTTTCTTTAGATTAAAGAATCTTTCAAAATAAGTGGTAAAAAGATCCGCTGTATGTCAGCCAGAGTGTGTCTTCAGCAACACGAATCTTACCTTTAGTGCTTTTGAATGTAAAGTTCTAGTTCTTTTTTAAATTATTGAATTTGTAAGATATGTAAGAGACGGTGCTATAAAATACATGGAGAAATAAAAACTCCCCCGCAGAACAATTAATACATTTTATCAATAAAAAGTGTGGAAACTGTCGACAGTTTTAAACAACCGGGATTAATCAGGCCCATTTTTCATCTCAAAACAAAACAAAATTATACTTGAAAAATTTGGATGCATTTTACACAGTTGGTGTAAATAAACTAGTTAGTGGAATATTTACGTATGGGCTGATGGGATCATAGTCCCAGGCGACGGAATTGTATTTGTACTATTTACTCTAATGTAAAAACACAGACTGTCTCTGAAGCCTCTGAAGGCGCTTTTCTTCTGAAGAAATCCAACCGAGGTGCTGTAAAGCATAAGGGGTTGTGTTGCGAGATTTGGTGTGTAGGACCTGGATTGGTCAAACGCAAAACTGATTTACCTTCTTATGCGGTTAATTTCATGAGTGTACATTTTCGAGGATTTCTAAGATGTTTTTATTTATGCCTGCGCCTAACTAACGGAGAGGGGACAATTTTCGGTACTTGGTAGAAACAAACTACCTTCACAATTCTATCGCCCAAACTTTACTAATGTCGTTAGATGTGCTTTCAGTAGAAACTATCCCGATGTGAACCTTAAATTTTTTGTATTTGATTGATTTCTTTTACGTCACCGAAGTCCTGAATAAAAGCTAAATAAATTGTAGTAATTTAGCAATAAAAAATAATCGATTCTTCGTAGTTTTTGACTTACCTTTGAATACATTAGACTCAGGGGCAAACTCATCGCTATTGAGAACAACCAGACTATAATAATTTTGAGAGTAACACGACGTTTCGTCTTATTTCTTCCGAACTTCATCGGATAACGAAGCGATAGGTAGCGATCCACGCTGATTGTGCACAGGTGCATTATTGATGCGGTACAAAAAAGTACGTCGAGGCAAATCCACGCTAGACAGTAAATTGCAGGAAGGGGGAAGTGCCCTGAAATAATAAAATTAAACACAATAATGGCTATATTTGACCCATCTTAATATTTACCCAATTTAGCAATGAAAATGTTTCATAAGTGCATCAATAACTTTTAATTTTTAAGTACTTTTTTTATATGTTTTCATATTTGTTTTTTTGAAAAAAGACGCATAATTAATTGTAAATATCTCATGACCATAATTAGATATTAATATTCTATTACATTGATTATGCCTGTAGAAAAATACATTTTCTTTTAAGGCCTGTTATTTCAAATTAATTCTTTTGATTATGTGTTTATTTAAAATGTACATACGTAATCATTAAAAAAAGGAATAATTTTTAATTCATTATAAACAGCAGTTATCTACTTTATTTTTCTTCTGGAAATAGACCGTTAGCTTATAAATTTTTTAGTATTTGGGTAGATCTGGATTGCGATGAAAAGTAAAAATTGAATTAGGTTTTATTGATTTCTCAGTTGATGTTAAGTTTAATGTATTATTAATGGATGCCATTAGCGATTGGAAGTCTTTCGTACGTCCCATTGAAAAAAATTGATAAAATGTTTGGTGACAATTTTAAACGCATTAAATAAATAAATAAAAGGATTGCAAATGTCAAGTTATTATCAAGTCTTTGCAGTTTGGCGCTTTTTGAATTTAATATTTTGCTCGTAATACTTCACTCGATGCTATTTGATCGATAACACAAGAAAACTATGCTTATAATTTCTATAGATTTCACTTTGTCGTTGGTAACCTTCCTGTGAGACATTTTTAGATAGGCGTAAATAAAAACGAAGCATTGTAATGCTTTAGAAATGTTTTAATAATAGGTCGGTGTTTTGTTTTACATTTTTCGAATTTTGTTGCCTTTTATATTTAAGACAGCTGTTTCGTCTTTCGGCATGAAGATGCCTCAAGGCGAAACAGCTGTCGCAAATATAAAAGACAACCAAATTCGAAGAATGGGAAAATAAAACTCTATCTCAACAATGAGTTTAGTCAAACTCTACTTGAAAATATTTGTATAAATGTAGTAAATACTGTAAATCAACAATAAATAGATAAGGATTATTCTTAATAACACTGCAAAATATTTCTAAGGCGTTACAGGCGAGAAAGTTAAAAATGAAGAGGTATTAGAAAGAATAGGACAACAGAGGACTATGGAAGTCAATAAGAAATAGGCGAGATAGGTAGGTAGGACACCTTCTCAAGCATGAAGGTCTAGTCAGAGACATATTAGAGGCAGAAATGGGAGTTAGGAGGGTAGAAGTAGACCTAAATTATTTTAGGGAAATGCGAAGATTAACTCAGGATAGGAGTGGAGGTGTGTGTCCAACCAGTCTTAGGAATGACGACCTTATTATGATACACTGATTGTCGATATTGTAGGGCATATTATTAAAAATTTTCTGGATATAAAAAAATATTTTTTTTTTAAATTCCAAATTCAGTGAAAATATATGTAACAGAAGCGATGGTGTATGTTTCTTATATTGACATGTAGTTCACGCAACATATGAAGAAACGATCTTGGAGATATGGCACGTATTTTTTACGCGATTATTTACGACTTTGACGTAAAATTCAACTGAATGTATTTTATTAGCGTGTAAAACGTGTTCCGTATACAAAAATAATAGGCGTTGATACACTAAAAATGATTTATTATCGATATTGGATAATTAAATCGGTACGAATCAACATATTGGTCTGTCATAATTCTTATTGGTACACTGCACGAACTTATTTGTGGTCAGTTTCTTTTATTATTATTATTCTAAATCTTCGCATTTTGTCACGAGATCTTCAGAAGAAGCTTCTCTTTCTTCTCCCTTAGTACGAACTGTTGTACATCATGCATCCCTGTACTTGTTGGTCATTATGCTTTGTCACTGTCATAGACATATAAAGAGATACTTGGATAGCAGTACATGAGGATAAAAAATTATTTTTTAAAAAGATTAAAAGATTTTATACATAAATATGGCTAATAACTGATAAATGTAACGAAATATTTAGTGAGAATTTCGATTTATTTATTATCATTTTGTATTTAATTCTAGTTTGTTTTCATAATATCTATTATTCATAGTGAGACTCCTGTTGGGACTGATCAATTTATTTGAGGCATTCGGAACTATTCATCTTTAAAGTCCTAACTTGATCTTGTCCCAAACGTACGATTTGTAATTCTAAAACAAAACTTTTCGTAACTGTCGGTTCTGTGCTCTGGCTATGGTTTATGATGTGAGGGTAGCTGAAGCCGAAATTAGCTAATCAGGGGTGTATGTCTTTTTCGACGTCTACCTTGGGTATAACACAAATTATTGTTTTAGTCCTTTGGACAAGTTACATTGAACAGATAAAAGAGAAGGATATATTAGCTAGGTGTCATTGTATTATTTCTAAAATAGTTTAGGTTATTTTTGAGCGTTCTACATCAACTGTAGTAGAAAATGGGTGTTATCATTACTTTGGTATATCGTTTTCAGTTTTTTTTTCCGTAAAATAAATAAAACCATCAAGATTTACACACTTAGGTGGTTATTTGTGTATAAGTGACACCCTTCACTATAATAAAGTGGTCAATTAATTAGTTATGCCTATTTAAATCTATAAGGGGTTGAATTTACGGATGTATATACTGTTTACTTAGGTTCTAATAGAAAAGAAGGAGTTTTGTTGTGAGTGTTTTTAATTGAAATAATTTATTAACATCACGGTGTTTTTAATTTCTTGAAAGTCACTCTTTTGTTGGCTTTGCTTTTTCACTTGTTTAAATTCGTTTCCATTTTTTAGTCTTTCAGAATAATATCTAATGAATTATCAAGTGCAAAATTGATTTATTGAAATAAAATATTTTTTTGGATATCAGTAAGAGGAAAAAGAAAGAATTAAATTGAGCGATCATGTAATCTGGAAAATTTCAATTTTAAATCGAAAAGAGCTGTTCTGTCTCCAAACGTTTTTCTTTTTATGTTTTATGATTTCGCTCGTTATTGAAAAGCTTGGGATGATAATCGATGGAATGTCGGATGTATAACGTTCGAAATGTTTAGGGTCCGCTCATTATTACCCTACAGGCGACATTCGGGAGGAAATTATAACCGTACAGCGAATGTAAAATAAGACATCTTTATTTATAAGTGAGATAAATCACTGCCAAAAGTTTCGCAATAAGGAAGGTTCGCCGTTCACCTTCGCCGCCCCTTAACGGGTTTGTCACAACGGAGACCTACAACGAAAAGGCGGGAATGCTAACGAAGGATTTTTTTATCATTTGTCCCCTTGTGATATTGTTTCTACGTCTGCGACTATCCTTTCAGCTGACAACTTACAACCTGATGCCTATGTTTGAATACGTACTTTCGAGGTCTTTAAAAATTTTCTTGGTTAGTTTTTCAAAGAAAAAAAGCATGCGTTTAAAAACGAATGTAGTCTATATCAATTGGTTAGAATTGTGACCTTCAAGAAAGCTGCGCGAAGTTAGAAAGAATACACACTAGGCGTGAGCAAGACAAAAATAGTTGGAACAAGCTTGACCGAGCAGAGCTCTCGATGGGCGGTCTTAGGAGATCGGCTAGAACTGTACAATACTAGACGAAAATGTTTAGCAATTTCTTAAAACAAAAATGTATATAAATTAACAATAGAAAACAAAGCAAAAAATTTATAGGTGTGTAGAACGTGTTAAGTTAATTCACTTGTTATTATTTTTGGCTAAATATGCTTTTAAATAAAGTATATTCTTAAATTTTAAGGAGACGGTTTAAATAATTTTGCAAATGCTACTGTACACTTTTGTCTAGTTCTCGCTCGATGATCGGTGGAGAAATGAGCTGCGCAGACAAATATGATTGAATTTGGTAGCTACAGTTTCATTTACAGCCCTGTCTTATTGTTATTGGACTATGTAGCGGAAATATTTAATTGCGTGATACGATGAATACATTTAGTTTGAGAATTTTTAACATATAACACTATTTTAAGTCATAAGGAAAAAGAAAACCTTCAAGGAATGCCTCATAATGTAACGTTATTAGCAATTTGCCCTGTAGATTTTCCTTTCGAATGCAAATGAATTATTACTTTCCTTATTTCTTTCAAAACAACATTACTCTGAGACGTTCTTAATTATTAACGACAAGAAATGCTCAAATTAATAATGAAAAAACTCATTATACTCTGGAATGTTTTCACGAAGTTTCTTTGTTACCTCGACGATATTGCTTCGGTAATATAATAATTTCGTAAAATTCCCGTGTTTAATGATTTTGTTTTTTCATTATTAAAATTGTTTTTGTATCTCAGTGACAAGTATTACGTTTCCGCTGTTTCGATCGTGTATTTCTTCAAAACTTAATTATTGTACCAAAAAGTACACTCGGAACTAAGTACATTTGAAAATGTTTTTTTTAATAGCTTAAAATATATTCTCCACAAATTCTGTATTTTGAACAGCTGGCCTAACTTGAGCGCATTATTTAAAAAGTTAAAGTGTATTCATTTCTGATTTTAGAAGTTCAAAACACGAATGCATGTGAATTTGTACACTGATACGTGTTACCCTGTCATTAATTTCCTAAAACCGTAATTTTGAGGTAACTATTGAAAACTGTAATTCCTTCGGGTGTATACACTGAACTTTTTTTAACAGATAGGCTACTTTTATTTAATTACAAAATCGCCTTTAGATATAATTGAATTTTGTTACACAAAGGTTCATTGAAACGAACCCTTGTGTACCTATAGGTACTGTAGCTATTGAATTTTCAACGATAATCGAATAGAGCCTTACAATCATCTTCAACAATGTGTACTAGTTTCGAACGGTTTGTACGAATTCTTGAATGAAACCTATACAAAGTAAATTAACTGAAGGGAATCGGTCGAATGGTTAAAGTTGCTTTAAGTCACCGGTTAACTGTCAAATATTTGGTGATAATTATCTAGGATATATGTACATATGTACATATGTTGTCAAAGCGAGAACGAGGACGA